GAGACGTATACGGCGTCTCTACGTCACTCCTCCTCAGTCCATATATGATCACTTCCTGTTCACTGGTTGATAAAAACAACAAGATGGCGACGGACAAATGGTTGAAACTAGAGGCTTGAAAGCATCAAATGAATACGTCCTCTTCTTAAAGTCTGTGTGTTGTGTTTTCTCAGCCAGTTGTTCAGAATGTGGACCAGGATACCGAAGCCCACTGGACGCCATGAAAGGTGAGTCTGTCTAACTGACCACTACATCTTTGTGTATAAATATATATAAATAATATATATATATATATATATATATATATATATATGTCCTTATTGAAGGCCGTCGGGAGGAGATCGTCTACCTGCCCTGCATCTACCGCAACACTGACGTCCTGAAACCGGACTATCTGGCCACCGTGGACGTGGATCCGAAGTCTTCCACCTTTACTCAGGTAGAACCAGTCCTCCAGTCAACCTTCTCCTGCTTCTCCTTCTTCTCATTCTCCTTCTCCTGCTTCTCCTTCCTCCTCCTCCAGGTTTTTCTTGGTCTCTGACCTGTAGAATCTGTTTTACTGTCTTTCTATACATAAACTCTTATTTATTTTGTACAAATAAATAAAGTCTTAGCAGCATTATCTAAAACTCCTCTGACCTGCTGTGACCTCTTGACCTCTCTCAGGTCATCCACCGGCTGCCGATGCCGAACCTCCATGATGAGCTGCACCACTCCGGCTGGAACGCCTGCAGCAGCTGCTTCGGCGATGCCTCCAAGAAGAGAAACCGTCTGATCCTCCCGTCGCTCATCTCCTCCAGAGTCTATGTGGTCGACGTCGGGTCGAATCCCAGAGCGCCTCAGATCCACAAGGTGCTGAAGGACGCTGTGTCTTTAAATCAGCGTTGAGATGCTCCTCCTGTCATCACTGACGGTGTTGAATCAGGAACATGCTGCTGTATCTACACCTGTGTGACGTTATGTTGACTGTTGATGGAGCTGCTACAATGTTAGCTTAGCATAGCACCGATCGAACCAGACTCCATTCAGAAAACAAGTATTTTAAAAGTGATTTGCTTGTCGGCTTGAGCGAGAACTAACAAAACATGAATTCTGATTTTTTTAAAGTCGGCATCATTATGTAGATATTTTGGCATCTTTTTTTATCCGTTTATCGTGATTAAATCTGTTCATTTAGTGTTCATACAGCTGTAGTAAACAGATGTGTGTCTTCATAGATCCAGTCAATACTCCTCCAGATGTTATGAACCAGACAAGAACATATAATATCATATAAATATCTTAAGCTTTAGCTCGACGTTAGCGGAGCGCCTCTTGTTTCTCCTGATGGATTCTGTCTCTCTGGTAAATGATGTTTCCAGACCGAACAAGAATGAGGGAAGAAGAACTTCCTGTGTTTACACAGCGGAGAGGATCAACATTAGCTTTTTGGGCTCCAACCAAAATAAGATAAAGAAGTTACTGCCCCAGAAAGCTTCAGGGTTCATTGTGTCGTTAAGGTTCAATGAATTGCATATTCGTTTTAGCAACGCTAAGACCTCTGAGGGGTCCGGGATGTGTCAAGGTTTTGGGGGGATGGAGGGGCTCCATGGGGGCCTCATAGTGGGTTAATTCAGCCCTGCTGAAAAAACTGCTGCTGTTTTCTTTAAAATTCTGAGAAATAACTCAGAATAACAGTCTGCCAGAGAGCAGAAGGAGGAGGAAGGTTCATCCTAAGTTCACTTTTGGACGATGAACACTCTGCCAGCTGTTCTTTAACAAACTTGACATTGGACTGTTTGGTGCTGTGGGAGATGAAGAATGTGTCTCTGTTGGCTGCAGCCGGTCAGCCTGCTGAGTCACTGTGGAATCATTAACCTGAGACAGTTTACAGCATGCTAACAGCATCCTAACTGCTGTCGATCTGGACGGCGTTATCAGCTGTAACTAACGTGCACTAAAAAGCGAGGTCGGCCGGCTATGTGAACAAAACAAGGAGAAGCTCTGATAAGAAACACACATGAGAGAGACTTCATTCTCACGAGGACGTCTCTGGTAGACCTGTCAATCACCGTGTAGCCCCGCCCTAAAGCATCCCCTGCTTTATGGTCTGTTTGACTCTAAATGTACTAAATGAACATCATGCTGTATTGAAGAAGACTTGAAACTAGAGATTGAGACCATAAACTCATGTTTACAATGTTTACTGAGGTAATAAATCAAGAGAGAAGTAGAGTCATTTTCTCATAGACTTCTATACAACCAGAGGAGTCGCCCCCTGGTGGACACTAGAGAGAATGCAGCTTTAACACATGAAGCTTTGACTTCACTTAAAGAACCGGAGGTTTTCTCCTGAGATAGACGTTACTCCTCTAGCTAGCAGATCTTTACATAGACTCCCTTCAGAAGAGCTTTGGTTTTGAAAGTGCTTTATGAATAAAAAAAAATACTTTATTTCGACTGCATAAAGATGAAATTGTTGTGGTTCTGTTGTGTCTTCAGGTGGTGGAGCCTGTCGATATGTACTGGAAGTGCGACCTGGCGAACCCTCACACCACTCACTGTCTGGGCAACGGTCAGATCATGATCAGCTGTATCGGAGACCCGTCTGGCAACGGCAAAGGTGAGACGACCGGCAACCGTGTGACGTTAAAGACTGGTGGACGGTATCAGTGATGCACCTGCTGTCATTCCTCTTTAGGTGGTTTCGTCCTGCTGGACGGTGAGACGTTCGAGGTGGTCGGTAACTGGGAGCACCCAGGTGAAGCCGCGCCTTTTGGATACGACTTCTGGTACCAACCTCGACACAACGTGATGATCAGCACTGAATGGGGTGCACCCAAAGCTCTGGCTAACGGTTTTAATCCCGCACATGTCAAAGAAGGTGAGTTAAGAAGAAACATCAATCTTTCTTCAATCCTCCCAGTAAGACTCCAATCAGTAGCAATGGGCCTCCAGATTCTGGTCCCAGTATTGAGTCAGCACCACAGAGTTCTAGATCCCAGTAAGACTCCAGTCAAAAACAGAAGGTTCTTTGAGTTTATCCCAGTAAGACCCCAATCAGTGCACCTGGGTTCTAGGTTGCTATGCCAGTACGAAACCAGTCGGTATCACAAGGTTCTTGATCCTAGAAAGACTTGAGTCTTCATCACGGGGCTCTTTGTTCCACTACCAGTAAGACATTAGGGTATATATTTCCTGGGTCCAGACCTTTGAATCCGCCCAGTTCACCAAGTTCGAGTCGATTGACTTGTCTGGTATTGTGACGTAATCGAGCCAACGAGCGGAACAAGGGGAACTAACAATTAGCCAATCAGCACCATTGTGAATAAACAGAGTTAAACAAGTTGACAATTCTGTCTGATAACTAGTCAACTTCATTGGTGTTGGTGTTCCAGGACTCTATGGCAGCTCCATCCATGTTTGGGACTGGACCACCCACAGGAAGCTGCAGACCCTAGATCTGGGGGAGGAGGGGGCCATTCCCCTCGAGATCCGATTCCTTCATGACCCCGATGCCACAGAGGGCTACGTGGGATGTGCTCTGAACTCTGTGGTCTTCAGATTCTACAAAACACCAGTCAGTACCATAGGTTTCTAGATCTAAGTAAGGCTTTAGTTGGTACCACAGGGTTCTACATCCCAGAGAGAATCCAGTCAGTACCACATGGTTCTAGATCTAAGTAAGGCTTTAGTTGGTACCACAGGGCTCTAGAACCCAGTGAAACTCAAGTGAGTACTATAGGGTTCTAGATCTAAATCAGGCTATGGTGAGTATCACGGAGTTCTAGAACCGAGAGAGACTCTAGTCAGTACCACAGGGTTATAGATCAAAGTAAGGCGATAGTTAGTACCACAGGGCTCTCGAACCCAGCGAGACTTAAGTCAGTACCATAAGGTTCTAGATCAAAGTAAGCTTAAGTTGGTATCACAGGGCTCTAGAACCCAGCTAGACTCAAGTCATGCTACAGGGTTCTAGGTTCTGATCCCAGGAAGACTTCAGACAGCACTGCAGGGTTCTAGGTTTGACTCCCAATACGATTCCAGTCTGTTCCACACAGTTCATAATGGATTATCTGTTCCATTTAGTGACGACCACTTACAGATACAGAGCCACAAAACTAAACTACCCTGAACTTTACACTTTTTAGCCTTTAGACGCTGAAGGTATCTCACCAACGAAACCTCAATCAAGCCAAACACATTGTCACTGAGAGCATGTTAGCATGCTGATATTAGCATTTAGCTCAAAGCACAGAGATGATTGTGTTACTTCAGACTCGTCTGGCTTTGTGTGTCTTCAGAAAGGTGACTGGGCTGCAGAGAAAGTGATCAATATTCCCAGTAAGAAGGTAGAGGGATGGGTGCTACCTGAGATGCCTGGTAAGTCTGTCTGCCTGTCTATCTCTCCGTCTGTCTGGTTGCATGACTGGTTTCCTGTCTGTCTGCGCAGGTCTGATCACAGACATCCTGATCTCGTTGGATGACCGTTATCTCTACTTCAGCAACTGGCTCCACGGTGACATCAGACAGTATGACATCACAGACAGGAGGAACCCACGATTGGTCGGCCAGGTCTGAACGTTACACCTGTCCAGAGACTAGAAGGTAAAAAGCTTCAGAGTGAGACAGCTCACCTGTCTGTCTGTTCCAGGTGTTTCTGGGAGGAAGCATCGTCAGTGACGGTCCTGTCAGAGTCCTGGAAGACCCGGAGAACCAGCAGCAGCCCCGCCCACGCTTCATCCAGGTACCACAGACAGGATGAGAGAGAGACAGGAGGCTGTGAGGCAGGAGGCTGTGGGACAGGAAGCTGTGAGACAGGAAGCTGTGAGACAGGAAGCTGTGAGACAGGACAGGATGGACTTGTGTCCAACATACTTTCTTCTATCCTCTGCTTTATGACTGCTTGTTAATCTCTACCTGTCTCTCTCTCCACCTGTCTGTCTCTCAGGGGAGGCGTGTCCCTGGAGGTCCTCAGATGTTACAGCTGAGTTTAGACGGTCGGAGACTTTATGTGACGACGTCTCTCTACAGCGGCTGGGACAAACAGTTCTACCCCGAAATGGCCAAGTGAGTACTACTGTAGTACTACTACTGTAATATACTGTAGTACTACTACTACTGTTATATACTGTAGTACTACTACTACTGTTATATACTGTAGTACTACTACAGCAACATACTGGACTACTACTACTGCTACAGACTGTCTGACTGTCTCTCTCTCTCTGTCTGTTTGTCTGTGCAGAGAGGGCTCCGTGATGATGCAGATCGATGTGGACTCAGTGGATGGGGGTCTCTCTGTGAATGAGAACTTCCTGGTGGACTTCGGTAAAGAACCCGGAGGTCCGTCTCTGGCTCACGAGCTCCGTTACCCTGGAGGAGACTGTACGTCTGACATCTGGCTGTAGAGACCTGAGACCTGATCCCGACCACCTGAGACCTGATCCCGACCACCTGAGACCTGATCCCGACCACCTGAGACCTGATCCCGACCACGTGAGACCAGAACCAGACCACCTGAGACCTGAACCAGACCACCTGAGACCTGATCCCGACCACCTGAGACCTGAACCAGAGACCACCTGAGACATGAACCAGACCACCTGAGACCTGATCCAGAGACCACCTGAGACCTGATCCAGACGCCACCTGAGACCTGATCCAGAAACCACCTGAGACCTGATCCAGAAACCACCTGAGACCTGATCCAGGTGGACACATTCTGTTCCTCATTCATAGAACCCGAATAGGTTCCGGTTTAAATGTTCTGGTGAAACTGTTAAAAAGTTCACTGTGAGTGTGATCTGTCTTTAAAACTGACCTGCAGCGCCCCCTGCTGCTCACTCTGTTAACACACAGTGTTTAAATAAAGTTCAATTTGAAGCCTCCTCTGTCTGATACTCACCTGGAAACAAATAATATAATATAATATAAAATAATATAAGATAACACAAAACAACATAATGTAATATAATGTTACATAATATAAAATAATATACCATAACATAATATAATGTAATATAAAATGATATAAAATAATGTAATATAATATAATATATCATATCATAAAATAAGATATATATATATCATATAATATAATAATACATTTTATTTATATAGGGCTTTTCAGAGTACTCAAAGACACTTTACATTAAAATCATCATATATAAAAGCAACACACTAAAAACAAAAATACACAATAGTGGTCACACATTAAAAGCAGTTTTGAACAGGTGGGTTTTGATCTGAGATTTGAATGTGGAAAGGTCAGTGCAGTCTCGGATGTGTTTGGGGAGAGAGTTCCAGAGGGAGGGGGCAGATATGGAGAAGGCTCTGTCACCCCATGTCTGGTGCTTGGTCCTGAGTGGAAGAGACAGGAGGCATCAGAGGAGCGGAGCCGACAGGATGGAGTGTGGTGGTGAAGCAGGTCGGTGAGGTAGGAGGGGGCCTGATTGTGGAGGGCTTTGTGAGTGAGGAGAAGGATTTTGTATTGGATCCGTTGTGGGACGGGGAGCCAGTGGAGGTTCTGGAGAACAGGGGTGATGTGGTCACGGGAGCGGGTGTGGGTGAGCAGGCGAGCAGCAGAGTTCTGGATGTACTGGAGTTTATGTAGGATTTTGGATGATGTGCCGTGGAGAATGCTGTTGCAGTAGTCAATTCTGGAGGTGATGAAGGCGTGGATCAGAGTTTCAGCAGCAGATGAGGAGAGTGATGGGCGGAGACGGGCTGTTTTTTAAGTGGAAAAAGGCAGTTCTGGTGATTTGTTTGACGTGGTGTTCAAAGGAGAGGTTGCTGTCAAACATGACTCCGAGGTTGCGGATGTGTGGGGAGGGAGACAGAGTGGAGTTGTCGATGGTGAGGCAGAAGTTGTGACTGGTTTTGGTGAGGGATTTGGGACCGATGATGATCATGTCAGATTTATCACAGTTCAGTTTGAGGAAGTTGGTTTGCATCCATGATTTAATGTCAGTGAGGCAGCTGGTGATAATATCATATACAATATAATATAGTATACAGAAAATAATGTAATATTTACAGTAGCAGTATAGTATAGGTACTTGTACTGTACTTGAGCATTTCTATTTTGTGATGCTTTCTACTACATGTCAGAGTAAATATTGTACTTTTACTACATTTATCTGACAGCTTTAATTAATTCACAGATTCAGATTATTAATCAACTAATAAATGATGATTTATTATTATAGATTATATAAAGTCATTAAAATGAGCTCCACCTTTAAAGTGATGAACACATTAAAGCTTCAATAATCATAATACTATAATATAAAATGTACTATTCTGCATAGTGAGTACTTCTACATTTGGTACTTTAATTAATACTATTTTGAGGACTTTTACTTGTAACACAATATTTCTACCATATCTACAATGTTGTATTAGTACTATTACTGCAGTAAAACATCAGAATACTTGTCTTTCCTCTGGTTAATATATAATAATATAACTGTATATCAGGTTAATATACAAACTGTAGGAACCTGCAGTACCTGTAGATCAGACCCCAGGCCAGGAGGTGGCAGCACTGCACCAGAAACCGACCGAAAAAAGAGCAGCAGAAGAAGGAGCCGCTAGCTGCTACTGTTGACATGACGATCAGAGAGCATCAATGGAGATAAACGGGACATAAAACATCGCTTCTAACGCGCTGAACGGTCACCAGGTAACACGGACTCACCTGTAAACACACACACAGACACGTGACTGCACCTGCAAGAGCTCACCTGCGACTGAGATGGAGCTAGCGTTAGCTTAGCATATAATACAGCTTAAAATTTTTTTTTTTTTAAAAAGCCGAGCAAAGTTAGCAACAGTTGTCCAGATAGTTAGCCGGCTAATGCTAACATTAACCGGAGCTAGTAACGTTAGCTTTGGTGTGTTTAATCTCTTAAACTAACCAGCTACAGGACGATGCTAATGTTTAGTTGTCTGGTTAACGGTAGCTGCGTCTCAACTAAAGTTCATCCACAGTAAGCTTAGCTAAGCTAACAGTCTGTTGATGACTGAACTTTACACCTAAGAGAGTCGGAGCTAATACTAACAACTAGCGAGCTTTAAATACAAAGCTAAGCTAAGCTAACATCAGCTGACTTCTATTTATCAAACTGCTTCTTTGAACAGAGTACCACAGTGTAGAAGTACTCTGTTAAAGTACTAATACCACAGTGTA